CTCCCTTCTCTGTAGGAGTCGCTGGGAAACTATCAGAAGACAAACTATGACGCCCTGATCCCCACTTGCCATGAACACCTCCCCACCTGTGGCCCCAGTGCCGTGCCTGCTCCTTCCTGTGACTGCACAGACAGCTCTAGATCCTTGTGAGACCACTGCAGTGCCCTCTGCACTCTGCCCACCTGTTTTCTGGGCTCCACAGGCAGCTTAGTGGGAATGAAATGGAAGACCAGCCATGGGTTGCCTGAATACATTGCTAAAAGCAGTGTGATGCTTTATAATTAAATTTTGGATTTGTCACAACACTGTCTTGATGTGAGAAAGAGTAATTAAGGCTTCCATGCGTCAGTAGAAGTCATTTACTAGAACTAGCCTTGCCAGAGCTGAAGGAACCCCTCTGCCTTTTTCCTTCCTTGAACGATGTTACTCACAGGTGCCTAGAAGGGTTACCATGGTGATCCTGGGAGTCAGTGATAATCCTAACTCTGCCCACCCTGGAGCAGCATCCAGATACCAGCACTGTGCAGAGACCCAGTACGTTTTCACAGTCCATGAGCTCTCTCTGTTTATGGAGGTATTTTTATTATGTCAACACTTCTGAGCTTGAGATACCTGAGATTCTCATTTAACAAAGCTAATTAACAAAATACAATTGTATTATAGGTATATGTCACCACACCCAGCTAATTAAAATTTTTACTTTTAAGGCGAACTTTAGAATTCTTTACCAGGCCTTTTTTAGGTTAACACTCTTGGTAAGAATCAAAAGATAGTTTTACATTCCTTACAAACTTAGGAAACAGTGTTAATGACCACAAATAGGCTTATACCCAAAGTGTAAATACATCTTATCCATATAACAAAATGCAGTTAAATCCAGTAGATATAGATCACATTTTAATTCACAGGATTGAATTGTATTGACTACAAAGAACAGAGATGTCAGGAAGTTTTGATTATTTTGTACATTTAAAATCCTAGTGTAGGGCCAGGGATATAGCTCAGTGGTATAAGTGCCCGCCTGGCAAGCACAAGATCCTGAGTTCGATTCCTGGTACTACAAAAATAAAAAAATAAAATCCTGGTGTAATGTGTATCGTATAAAAAAGATCACTTATTGGTTACTGTGTATCAAACCTATGTATTTTTAGTTTTATAAACTTTGTACATTTGTACAGTACAATCTAGCATAGGCTTAGTTATGTTTGTTTTGGTATTAGGCGAAAGACATGGTATTTAGTGTCATTAAAAGAGGGTAAATGTAGGTCCAACTCTGTAGAACAACTATTAAGCTGTGTCTGTGAGCAGTGGCTGTTACTCCAATTCAACGTTTACTTTTCATTATATTAAGACCTCCATATCCATTGCCAGGCATGGTGGTGCATGTCTATAATTCCAGCACTCAGGAGACTAAGGCAGAAGTGCACTCAAACTGCAAGTTTGAGGCCAGCCTAGGCCACGAGTTTAAGACCAGCCTGAATTTCATAGTGAGACCCTATCTCAAAAAGCAAAAACAAACACAAACAAAAAAAAGACTTCTGTCCCCATATATTCTGCTTATATAATTTTTTTTAAATTTTAAGAAATAAAAGAAGGAAAACGTATTAACAAACAGACATCCATTTACAAAATAGCATAAGAACAGTACAAACAAAACAGTTACAGACAAAATTGTTGGAAATTAACAATGGTTGTTGTATTACTTATTGATATCTTCAAAGTGATTTCTCAAGAAAACAGAGACATACAGGATTGCTCAAACAAGTAATCATTAGCTGTTCCTCTCTGTAGAGGAATAGAAGACAGTAGTACAACTATGTTAGC